ATACGTGCAATGTGTAACCATTGTGGACTTCCCACCTCCATGAAGGGATAGATTTGCAGTTTCCCCTTTTATCTACTCATTAGAGAGCCACCCTTTATCTTGATAATTGTGTTACATTCAATTTTCACTTTTGTGTATATGTGAGGTTGCTCTTTGCACTTCGGTGCTGTAGTAATTGTGCATACCATTTTCTTGACTTTGTTTTCTTTAATATCCACCAGTTCATGTAGAATTTTCCAAGTATCTCTTCATAAATGACATTATTTCTTATAGCACATTAATCACTCATGAAGTGCCAGAATTTGTTTACCATTCCAGCAATCAATGGACATCCACTTTGTTTCCAATTCTTTACTATCACACAAAGCATTGCCATAAACATTTTGGTGTATATGAAGACATTTTTTTCTTATCAGTGATTTCCTTGGGGTTTAAGGTCCAGTAGTAGAATCAATGATTTAACAAATACAGACATTTTCATCATGATATTTGCATACCAATTTTAGCTACCCCAACAACATAGTTGTGTATCTATCTTCCCACAAGATCTCAAAATTGCCATTTTTGTCATCTTTGCCAATATGTAGGATGTGAGGTAAAACCTTAGGGTTGTTTTAGTTTTAATTTCTCTTATTATTAATTTGGAGTATTCTTTCGTGTCCTTATGAATACTTTGCAATTCTTCATTTGATAACTATTTCTTCATATCCCTTCATCAATTATATATGTACACACATACATTTATACATATTTTACATATATATTATTCATATCTTGGATACCAAAGACTTATTAGAGAAATTTGGTACTGAGCTTTTTTCCCATTCAATTACTTCCCTTCCTGTCTTAATTGCTTTAATTTTGGATGTGCAGAAGCTTTTTGGTTTCATATAATGAAAGTTATTCTAATTTATACTTTGCAACTAGATCTATATCTTATTTGATCAAAAATGCATCTCTCACTCTCACCCGAGAGGCATCTGATCTGCTTCTCTTCTAATTTTTTTTAATAGAACAGCTAGGTAGATAGAGTGCTGGGTCATTTCATCTTTGTCGTTTGTTTGTGGTTCCTGAAATTAATGGTTATTATTATTACAATTCAGTCTATATAGGATTAGCTATTTCTATCTTTGTACATCTGTTTGCAATATTTTTGTATCCTAATACATGTTCAGTTTTTGTTTAAAAAAATGTCCCCTGTGGTGTTGAGAAATACATAGATTCTTTTTTATTCCCATTTAGGAGAAACCATAAGCTTTTTAGCTTTAGTTTCTCCAGTAATTTTTTTTGTTCTATATTTTCTCTTTTGTTTACCTTTTTTGTTAGACCTACCCCAAACTGAAACTGGAGTTTCCCATCACTATTGCTTTATTCTCTATGTGTTCTTGTAGCTCAGTTAATGTTTCCTTTATGAATTTGAATGCTGAGGAATTTGGAGGTTTATTACTGATATTGGATTTTTGTCTATGGTTCTTTTCAGCATAATGTAGTTTGTTTATCCCCTTAAATTTTTTAATGTTTATTATTTGTCCACTAGAAGGACTAAAACTCCTGCTTTTTTGATTAACCTGATGCATAGTAACTTTTTCCCCCATCCTTTCACTTTTATTTTATGTATATCTTTGTTTTTAAAATCTATTTCTTATGAGGATTAGATTATTGGGTGTTTCTTATCCAATTTGCTACTCTTCTCTTTTTTGTTTTATTAGATTAATATATTTAAGTTTATGAAGTTAAATTTGTGTTCCTTCATTTCTTTGTAATATTGTTTTTTTTTAAAGTTATGATTTTCACCCTTCCTCTATAAAGTAAGGCAGTGTGATATCTCTTCAGTTACTTAGTTTAATCTTTTTCTAAGATGGTCCCTATTCTCACTGCCTCCCTTCACCTTCCCTCTAATCATCTCCTCCCCTTTGCTACCCATTTATTTTTGGTGTTTTGCCATTAGTTCTTTTACTTTCTGGGGTGTAATGACTAGCATCTTTGGTGTGAGGGTTTGCTGAGTCCTTTTAAGTGTTGCTCATCCACCTTTGGTGTCTACCTGCCACCCAAGCTGTGGATGCAAGAAGCTGTAGCATGCACAGTGGCCACACTCAGTGCCAGGTCATCTCTGCAGATGGGTTAAACCAGGTTGAAGGTAACTGGTAGGTCACATCAGTGAGTCAGGAGGACGTCTACCCCAAGCATGTGTAGACTTTCCCAAGCAGAATGGATAAATGAGAATAATTTGTTCCAATGTCCATGAGGTGGTTGAAAAAAAAGGTACTGTGGAGCTCTTAGAGCTTGATCAGACATCTGCCAAGGTCATCCACTGCATCTTGGGCCATTGCCAGTTGTCTTGTCATTGGGCTTAGATGACTCTGAAAGAGAGAGTGAGGCTGACGACTTTGTGCAACTCTTTCTCACTTAAATCCAATTTACATAGAAGTCAAGACATCACACATTTCCCCAACATTATGATGTCATTGGTCCTCTTTGAAAATGAAAGTCAAACAACAGAAACTTTTTACTTTCTTGCTTTTATCTAGTCATTTAATTCCTCTCCTCTTTTTTCCTCTCAGTTAAGCAGATTCCCTCTTCTTCTCTTCCCCTTCACCTAATCCTATGAAAATTTTCTTCACAAAGTAGCCCAGGATGGCCAACTTTGAGGATTGGGTATTGGAGGAGGAGAAGGCATGGATAGCTGCCAAGTTCATCACTCATGTTCTGCCAGGATAAGTTAATGAAGTGTTTAATGATGTCCAGTTACTAGTTGACAATGAAAATCTTCTCAAGAAAGGGGCAGCTCATGTATTTGCCCAGGATAATATGGATCAGTTCACTTCAGTGAAGACAGAAGGATATGATGATCAGATCTTAATTACAGAGCATGGTGACCAGGATAGTGGCAGATTTTTAGATCCAAGAAATAAAGTTTCCTTTAAGTTTGACTATTTATGGAAAGAAGCAAGTGACTCCCAATCTGAGGACTTAAATGGAGCTCTGAAGTCATGGAGGGAATCCTGTGACAGTGCATTAAGCGTCTATATAAAAGATTATAATTCCAATGCCTTCTATACTGTTTATGCTAAAATTAGAGATGAGCAGAAGACTATTATTGCCTGTATTGAGAGCCACAAATTTCAGCCTAAAAAATTTCTGCCATGGTCATTGAAGATCAGAGTGGAAGTTTCCAATCACACTACCTATAGCTCAGGTGGTTGTAGTACTAAAAGTTTAGGTCCATTACTATGAAGATGGCAATGTTCAGTTGGTTAGTCACAGAGATGTATAGATGGTGAACAAGCTGCCAAGGAATGTATAAAAATCATAGAACATGCCAAAAATAAGTATCAGATTACTATTAGTGAGAACTATCAGACAATGCCAGACACCACATTCAAGGCCTTGTGTCAGTAGATTCCAGTCACCCACACCAAAATCTCCTGGACAAAATGCTCAGCTACGAGATTGGCAAAGAAATGCAAAATGCTTAAGGCTTAATGTGAAATTCTCCAATTGTAACAAGAAGAGGAAGAAGAAGAACAACAACAACAACAACAACAAGAATGAGGAGAACGAGAAAGAGAAGGAGAAGGAGAAGAAGAGAAGAAGAAAATGAAGAAGAAGAAGTAGGAGAAGGAGGAGGAGGAGAAGGAGGATGAGGAAGAGAAGGAGAAGAAGGAAAAAAGGAGAAGGAGAAGAAGAGAAGAAAATGATGAAGAAGATGAAAGAGAAGGTGAAGAAAGAGAAGAAGGAGAGGAAGGAGGAGGAGGAGAAGAAGATGGAGAACAAGGAGAAGAATAAGGAGAAGAAGAAAAGAAAGAAAAAAAGATTCAAAGTATGGTCTTATAAGAATGTGATTTGTAATCAATGTGTAATATATTTTGCTAGGGCTTTCAAAATTAACTAGATCCTCAAAATACTATTGAACCAATTGCATTGTCTTTATGGCTTTGTGTGTGTGTGTGTGTGTGTGTGTGTGTGTGTGTGTGTGTCTGTATATGTGTATGTGGTCCTTGCCATATAATTTTCTATTGTGACTGTATCTACTTGTAGGATTTTTTTTTTTTTACAAATTCAGTTATTTTTAACATTGAAAAAACAAAAAGAAAAAGATATGTCCTGCAATTTATGTACTGATTAGAAAATTTCCTAGCCATGAAAGCCCTCTCACAAACAGGCAGGTAAAGTTTTCAATACCCCCTCACCCTTGCCCTTAATAGTACTTCTTGTACACCAGTGGTTTTTACAGATCAACCAAGAGCTAAAGATTCTATGCTGCAAGATACACCAACAGACATCTTTTCTCTTCTCACTGTTGTGTGCCACTTAATGGCATCATGGTAGCTGTAGATTTTTAAATATTTGCAATGGTGTTTTTAAAGTCCTTTGGTGGAAAAAGGGAATTTTCTGGAAATTCCATAATGACTAGCTTCTCTGGGGAAAATCTGGGGGAGGGTGGAAGTCTGTATTGTTTATTTTTTAATCCAAAGACTTGAACCATATTCTCTTTGAGGGAACTTATTTGCTTTTCTCCTTTTCTGAAAATTCCCTTCCCCCTGGTAACATGGTTGTTATTGGCATATGCATTTTTAGAACATAGTTACCCTATTAATATAAATATATATATGTGTACATAATATACACACACACATATATATACATATATATATGTATATATATAATATTCAAGAACTGCTGACAGTCTGGATATAGAAGAATAAATATTAAACCTTGAAAAATGCAGATGCCTAAGGAATAATGGGCATATTGTGCTTTAATGCTTTACGGCAGGTTACTAGAGTTTGTACTGTAAGTGTAGGAATCAGAAAAGTGCACAAATCACAAATAAAAACAAAAAAGATTTGCACTAAAGTGAGAATAACTTCTAAACAGTGTTTTTCTATCATTCCTTGTTTCTTAATGAGAACACCGGCACTCTAATTCACTCTAAATGGTTTGTAAAACTGATTTGACATTCTTCTTCCACCCTGCCTGCCAAGAACTCAACTTAGACTATGATGCAGCAGCCCTTCCAGGATGGTGAGTGAAGGTATGTGTTCCATAGCTCTCAAAACACAGAGACACCATGGATTTGCTATAGCTAGTAATCAGAACTATGGATAGTGAAATCATTCTACGTTGTTTACACTTAAGTGACCAGGCCTTAACATGAGGTCATTTTTTTTAAAACCAAGTGCTGTTTTTCTATGTCATTGAAGAGGAGGATGTTTGTGCTTAAAGTGACATTGTTTTTGTTCAGTAACATGGTTAAGCAAGAATGTTTCCAATGTGTCCCATTACTTAGGTAAACTTTTTTTTCCAAAATAAAGTGTATTTGTATTATTCGCCATTCATAAAATCCCTCTGTATTACAAAACCCTTATACATACTAGTATAAATATAATGGTTTTGTTCTTAAAAAAAAGAAAATTTCCTTTACTCACCCTCTTCATTATCTATCCTCTCTTTCTGTCTACTCTTGATCATCCTACTCTGGTTCATGACCCCTATAATTATATAATCTCTCTATTTTCTGTATTCCTCAAAGAGTTAAAATTTCTGAGGTATCTATTCTGTACTCATCCTCTAAACAGTTTCTGCCACTACCTTGTAGAGTTTACTCTTCAGATTTCCCCTTCCCATTCCCAGTCCCTGAAAAAAATATCTATTCTTAGAACATAGAAGACACTACCCAATGCAAACATCTCCCCCATCTTGTCTCAGATTAGAAGTCCACCTTCTAATAATCTCCTTTTGGTCATCTTCCTTTCCTATTTGCTTCAAAATCTCTTCAGTGGGTTTTTGCCTTCGCCATCCCACTGAGATCAGTTTTAAAGTACCAAATTCCCACAGACAATACCCAACACATGCACCCTATCTTCCTTTACAGAATATCTCTTTTTACCCATGGGAGCATTCATCAGTGGAACCCATTCCCACTATCAAAATAAGGCCTATTTCTCCTCCCCTCCACTTTTCAATTTTTTTCCCTTCCTTCTCAGATATTTCCTTGTAGGTTCTTGTCTTCATGAAAGACCAAAGAGATCATCTTTCAGTCTCATTGCTAGGACTCAATCTGACCCAGATACATCATTTACTCTCCTTTTATCTTTGGTTGCCCTCTCTCTTTTTTATGCATCTTACCATTTTGTAATATAGTTTCACAAAAAAAAATTGATTCAAAAGTAGGTAGAGTGTCACAAAATTCCACCCATAATGCCCTACACCTACCCCCCACCTTACTTTCATCTTCACCCCTGTTTCCTAATGTATGTTTAGAAAGAAATCCCTTAGTGATCTCTCTGTTGTCAGTCTGTTGCTCTTGCTGTCCTTAGCTGATCCGTTCATTCACCCTTCCTGCACTTTTGTTGTCTGGGATGTTTGAGAAGCAGATATTCTCTTCTGTTCTATTTTTCTTTCTAAGAATGTTTCAAACACCTCTGTATTCTTGAATGTCCATCTTTTTTTCATTTATAATTAAGCTCAGATTTGCAAGAAAGATCACCCTGGGCTGCAACTCAAGCTCCATTACTCTTCAGAACACATTATTCCATTTTCTCCTGCATTTTCTAATGTGTATAGAATAGTCTTGTATTACTTGAATTTCCTTTCCTTGGTATTTGGAGATCTTTTTAAATTTAATCACAATATTTCTTAGAGTTTTAGCTATGGGTGTGTTTTTTTTTGAGGTGATCCATGCATTACTTCAATTGGTATTTCATTTTCTGTGTTCAGAAGTTCTGGACATTTCTCTCATATTTTTCTTACATTATGGTGTTTGACTTTTTTGATTTCTGTTCTCCTGGGAAATTTATGATTGTTAAATTTCATCTATGCATGCAGTCTTCAAGATCAATATGCTTTGCTTAAATTGAGAGCATGGTTTCTTTTAATGCTTTTTTTCTTTGATATTGTCATCACATTTGTGTATTTGCATTCTTAATATGTTGTCCTCTCTTTTGTTTCTATGGTGAGACTTGCCACTACTGATTCAAGTTTTTTTTTTCTATTTGAACAATTATATCTGCTCTGCAGGCCAATAAATTCTGTTTTCATAATTCTCATTTTTCTTTTAGCCTACTTAGGAACAACATGTTGGCTTCTCAAGTTCCACAGGGTCTTCTGTCTTATTCAGTGTTGAGTCATATTTGTTTTTTTTAGTAGCATTTATTCATAGAAACATGTTTCTTTCTGCTGTTAATGTTTTTCCTGTGATTTATTTGTTTATGTTTGAGGTCTTTGTGCTTTCTTCCTCATGAGATTTTGGTAATTTTAGACCTTTTCCCCATGACTTTCCCCTATTGCTCACTTTCTGACTCCTCGTCCTTCATGGGGGTTTCCTTGGGCATTTGATCAAAAAGCATCTCTGCCTCCTCCCAGTCTGAGCAATTCACAGTTTACCAGCCTAGGTCTCTGCCAGAAGTGACCTTTAGCAGGACAGTACTAACTCAAACTGGATGCTCACCCCTTTCCTTAGGCTTACTGGAGTGCCACACTGTCTCTCCCTGCCCCTCTCCACACATAATGTCCTGTCCCATTGCCTCTGTTTGTTAGTTCTCTGACCCAGGTATACAGAGCACTATAGCCAGGGTTGATTTCTCTGGTTTGAGGTTTGGAAGTCCTTGGCTCTGGGAAGAGGGGCATTGGTGTGAGGTTGATCACTAATTCAAGCCTAGATATGAATTCTCTCCTGTTTCCTCTATTCTTCCACTCTTATAGAGATCTTTTGTAGAACAGAGTGATGCCATGGAGCTTTCTATGAAGGCACCAGAAATCTTCCACAGACTAAATTATGGATCTCCAAAGAACTAGAAAGAGGGAGAGGAGACCAGGGTCTGAGGTTGGCTTTTGGTGTAAGTGCATGGATCAAATTGACTCATGAAGCCTTGCTGCTGGTAGTGTGGTGTGTAAGAGTGGGAGAGAGATGCTAAGTGAACTCAAGGTAGATATTATCTCATGGGTTTTTGTTAACTTTCCTTTGGGTTCCTGGTATCTTAGACCATGATAACAGCTGAAATTGTTTTATCTTTGGTGCATATTTCCATTTTTGAGAGGTTTGAGAAGTTGTCAGGATCAGATACAATGTCAAGTCACATGACCTAGAAGTCAGGAGGAATTTTCATTCACTTTTACCTCATCCCTTATTTTCTGTGAGGGTTTCTGCTAGGTTCTTTAGTGTACAGTGGATCTCCTTGGATAACTCCTTTGCTCTCATATATTACAACTGAAAGTTAATAACTTCCTTCTTCACATACCTAGGAGACTGACTGTTGACCCACATGGTGGTTTCTGAGTCATAGATTTCTAGCTCTTTTGCTCAACTATTGTTTTAGACTTTCCAAAGTTCTGAGGGATACTTGTATCTTCTAGTCAATATAGATTTTATTAAGATATTGAAACTAAGGTCATTGCAGGAGATGAGGTTGACTTTCCTTTTCCTAGCCCTGTAATATTACTATTCCATTTGATGAGATCTTTGTATCATGAGAAGTTCTACGGTACTTTGGACAGAGAGCTGGTCTTGGAACCAGAAAGACCTGGATTCATGTACTGCTTCTCACATATACCAGCTCTGTGACTCTGGACTAGTGACTTCATTCTTCTTGCTCTAATACATTCTTCAAGATGTTAAGTTGTGGAGAAGGGACTGACAGGGGCTATATTTATAGAAGAGATGATCATCTTTTGGAATTTCCTTATACCAATAATATCACTAGCCTAGTATCTATTCATCTTTGTATCGCTTTCTTCAAATGCTTGATTCTTTCAGGCATTGCACCTTTCATGGAGAGTCCTTTTATAGGATGATAGACTGTGGCTATTCTGTGCCATGGACAATTTTGGAATCTTAATCCCACCAGGGGCCAAGTCCCCAGCTCTCCTTGCATAAAGCATGATATTTTTCTAATCATATGGTATTTGATATTGAAAAGATGATATGGAAATATTTCCTACCTCTTAAGAATTTATTTACAGTTGTGTTTACATCACCTTCAACATCTAATTAGTTGCCAAGTCCTACTCTTTCTTCTTTTGTAGTACCTCTTATATCTATTGTTCTTCTGTTCCATTCCATTGTTACCACAGAAATCAGGTACATGTGCTCTTACATCAACACAATTGCAAGAGCATCCTTATCAGTGTATTTTAAGTCATTCCTCCTTTCTGATACATTTCTTCACATTGTTCCTAGATCATCTTCCTAAAACACCAGTTTCAGTATCAGTATTCCTATTATATAGATAAGAAAATAGAAGTTTAGGAATAGACAGCTAAAAAGTGTCTGAAGCTGGATTTGACCTCAGGTTTTCCTGACTCCAGGTCCAGCACCCAATCTACTCTACCACCTAGTGCATCCAAAAGTAGACTTGTGAATAGGATGTTTATAGCAGCTCTCTTTGTAGTGGAAAAGAACTGGAAATTGCAGGGATCTCCATCAACCGGGTAGTGTCTGAACAAGTTGTGGTGTATGGTTGTGACGGAATACTACTGTGTTACAAGAAATGATGAGTTCAATGATCTTAGAAAGGCAAGAAAAGACCAACAAAATGGTGAAGAGAAGTGAGAAGAACCTAGAGAACATTTTGCACAGCAACAGCAATTCCATTTTAAGAACAACTTTGAGTGACTAAGTCACTTTGACTATTATAAATACACAAATTAAAAATAAAGGACATATGAAGAGAGACACTATCTGCATCCAGGGAAAAAACTGATAAGATGCATAGAATAATTTTAGATACATACATACATATACATATACATACACACACCCACTCACACACCTATTTCTGCTTAATGCTAGCCCTCTCTATGTTGGGATGGGGGAGAGGGAAGAAAAAAAATTCACATGATAACTTTATTATATATTTAAAAGAAATAGCACCCTAGAGTTGCAGTTTCATGTGAAATCACCTTTTTAATTATACTATATTATGGAAATGCTTATTTTATTCCATATATTAAAAATAAAATATATATATTCGAAAAAGTATACTTAGATAACCAATACCTAATTTAAATGAACTCACCTCTTCTTG